AAAACTACGTCAAAAGATGCGAGAACCCCTGCGGCTACTACGGCCAGCTCTGTTGCTCAAGCAATCAATACTGCTATACCGACAGCCAGGGTCAAGCACAATGCGGTGCTGGTGCAGCAGTCACCACCAACATAGCGGCGCAGTCCACTGGCGCCGGTAATTGGCAATACTACACAACCACATACGTCCAAACGGATCTCAAGACAGTCACTGCGACCTTCAGCTCGTACATCCCCGTTACCACAGCTGCTGCGCCAGCGACAACGCAGACCTGCTCATGGTCCCTCGGACAAACGCCATGCGGCAGTGTGTGCTGCAATTCCGGACAATACTGCCAGCAATCAGGGATGTGTATGGAAGTGCCGGGGAGTTCGGGATATTACAGTAGTTTGGCCACCGTGACGGTGACCAACACAGCCAGTGCGCCCCTCCGCCCGACTACAAACACCGTGACAACTCTAACCTCCACAGGTCATGCCTCCTCCACAGTCCCCTTCCAAACTCCCGTTGGCACAGGCGGTGCCACAGCTGGGATCTCGGCGCAAACAACGAGCGGCGGGTTGAGTGGTGGCGCCATCGCAGGGATTGTGATTGGTGTGATCGCGGGGATCATTCTGTTATTGCTCATCTGCGCTTGCTGCTGCTTCAAGGGCCTGCTAGATGGACTGCTTGCCATTCTCGGACTTGGCTCGCGACGACGAAGACGTGAGGAGGTGGAGATTTATGAAGAGAGACACCATCATGCTTCCGGCGGTGGTGGTGGCCGCACCTGGTTTGGTCAACGGCCGAGCGGAGGGACGGTAGTGGAAGAAAAGAAGAAGAAGAGTAGTGGCTTGGGCGGCTTGGCCGCTGCCGGAGGCCTGCTTGGTGGTCTAGCGCTGATACTGGGATTGAAGAGGAAAAGGGATGAGAGGAGGGATGACAAGACGAGTAGCTCGTACAGCTACTACGATTCCGACTACTACACAAGTAGCAGTAAGTCTTCCCGCATATCCAATTGGTGGAGTGAGCACTAATTTGGTTGCAGGTTCTAGTTCGTCAGCGGGTAGGACGAGAGGAAGCCGGTCGAGGTCGCGGTCACGGATATAATTGTGCAACTTTTTTTCGATTGTCTTATTAGCGTTTCACGAAAATAGGTTGGAATTGATGGATTGATGGATTGATGAGCGACGACCGCCAACAAGTAGCATTTGAAATATGACTTCTGGCACTGAGGTGAACGCCGGCCAAGTCATGGTCCGGTGATGACTGCCAATGTATGAGTTCAATGGGACCTGGAACATCAGATAGGTGGATAGTAGGTGCAATGACAGCTACTGAACTGTCTACATTGGTTCCTGATGCTTTCACACGCTTACTTTGGGGTTCGTAACACGCAACATGGCATAGACGATTGTATTCTCGAGGTTACAAATGGCCGTTACCGTGAAAAAAAAAAATAACATGTTGAGGTTAGTTATCGCTCTTCCGCTGACAAGCGTCTTACAGGCTTCCCACGGCGCGTTCCTTGATGCCTTAGCAGCAGTAGGTTCGGATGATCTACCCTAAGGGTCGGCTAAGTTACCTTGATCATCAAACTTGGTCAAGGTTCAGTCTGCGAGTTCATCAGCGCAGAAACCTGACCGTTCCTCGGAACACTTTACCCACGACCTTCACCAACGGCCGATTTGTTTGGATCTCTCCTCGACGTCCCCATCACCGACTCCGCTTAGCTCGACGTGTCGCCTCAGATCGCCCGTGTCGTACGCTTCTTCCTGCGTCGACTACACACCCCTCGAATATTGAAATGCGGCCGTGACAGTTGACGAAATGCTGGGCACGCAACAATTCTACCCACCACAATTCAACGATCAGCCTGCCTGGCAGCATGGTGCTCAGCAGCAGAATCACAATCCTATGTCCCATGCGCAGCCACCTTCCAAGCTCAATCAAGACCAACACTACACGCGGATAGCCATAAATCAGAATCATGCTAACCAAACCTCGAATGCCCGCCAGTCCTCGACGGAGACGTCCCAAGACGCCGGCGCCTCACTGAGCGTCTTGAATCAACAGGGCTCGCCCGGCATGGAACAGCTCTCGGAAGAGAACCAGAAAGTGTTGGTTTGGGTGGCGGAATTGATGGATCCGGCAAGACGAGAAGGTGCTCTCATGGAATTGAGCAAGAAACGAGAGCAAGTGCCGGAGCTTGCGCTGATACTATGGCACAGCTTTGGCGTTATGACGAGTCTGCTACAAGAGATCATCTCGGTTTATCCCTTGCTCAACCCGAGTCAATTGACCGCCGCCGCCAGCAATCGTGTATGTAACGCTCTTGCTTTGTTGCAGTGCGTTGCGAGTCACAACGAGACGCGTGGCCTGTTTTTGAATGGTATGTACTTTCACACTTGGCGGCATGCTGGACTAACGAAAATCAGCACATATACCATTGTTCTTGTATCCTTTTCTCAACACAACTTCAAAATCACGACCGTTCGAGTATCTGAGGCTGACCTCGCTCGGCGTAATTGGCGCACTGGTGAAGAATGAACCTGCATCACAAGCATCGGTCAATCCGAGCCAACCTCCAGGAAGCAATTCCTCGCCTACCATCACTTTCCTCCTTTCCACCGAAATTATCCCTCTCTGCCTGAGGATTATGGAGACCGGGTCAGAGCTATCAAAGACAGTCGCCATCTTCATTGTACAAAAGATTCTGCTTGACGATACCGGCTTGGGATACATCTGCGCCACCTATGAACGCTTCTATGCCGTTGGTACCGTCCTTAGTAATATGGTTGTGGGGCTCGTCGAAACGCAGACGGTGAGACTGTTGAAGCATGTCGTGAGGTGTTTCTTGAGGCTGAGCGATAATAATCGCGCGAGGCAGGCATTGAGGCAGTGTTTGCCCGAGCCTTTACGAGATGCTACCTTCTCCGCAGTCTTGAGGGATGATGCTGCTACGAAGAGATGTCTTGCTCAGTTGCTCATCAACTTGAGCGATAACGTCGCCGATGGTCAGAGTGACCAATTTGAGTGAGACACATACTACGCCATTCGACCTGAACACCGCTGGCATGATTTACTGAGCCACGACGATGCGCCTTCGCATCGCTCCATTGGGAGCAACAGATACGCGAAAAATCGTCCGAACTCTGTCGAAACAATGCCCACCGATCTGGAATTATAACTGGCGGAATCAGTACCTTTGGTCCAAAGTACGGACATAATCAACTCCATGACGTCCCCTTGCTCAACACTTTTCACTTGCATAGAATATACCCCGAAACCAACACACCTTATGAGTATGTACATTAGGAGGAATAGTGGTCGTGAACTGAAACCAGAAAGAGGCGCAACAATTGAATGAACGAGAAACAAGGCATAGGTTGGCATGGAAAAAAGTTCTACTTCTGATCATGTATGACGAATGGAATGCATGGGCTTCAGCTTCGAAATATGGATGGATGTTGTTAAGCGATTTGGTCGATCATGAAGGAAAGGCAATGCATATGGGCGTTAATGATACTTTGTTATTTCCCTCCCTTCTTGACTATCATGTTGAACTGGTCGTACTTAGTAGCAAGCATATGAAAGTGTGACTGCCCATTTCGTCACCATTTCGGAATTTCAAACTACCCTCTCTTCTTAATTATATGCCCAGATGCGGCTAATCTTCACATGAACCTATGCTTCCGCCTCACTTTACACTTCCACCATCTATCCAAAGAAAATCCGGACAGTCGCCTTCCTCATGTCGATTTCTCACCATGGTCCTGACAGAAGATAGTCCAGGTCTGGGATGAGTTCAAGAACAGCCTGGGATTCTGTGGGTTACGTCAGCAATCAATGTTTCAACCGTGCAGAAGTAGGCATCGTAGAAAGCACTCATGAATTCAACTTAGCAAAGGGTCCTTGATGCAGAGAATGAAAGGCCACCGCCGGCAGTAGGTCCGTAGCCTTATGTTGACGATTGATTGGAAACTCTCTGCGCGCGAAAGAGGATGATAGTTGTTCTGCTTACAACTGGATCCTGTATTTTGAGACAGACTACCGTAACGATGGTCCAAACACTCATCCCGCTGCGCAGTGTGACTCTCTTCCTAGCGACCAGTGATTCATGGCTCAGCATACCCAGCGTCATATTCAACCACAACACAGTTCCCACGCATCAAGTGAATGAGCCTCCAGTTCTGAGCTGTCGGGTGCAAAGGTCAGGCGTGTTTGCTATAGCCATGTTTCATTCCTGGCGAGATCTTGTCATTTTCTTCCTTACCATAGCAGCGCACCTTCGAAGAGGTAGGCCATGACGTAGCATCGCTGCTGATATCAATCTCGGGACACAATGTTCTTGAATCATATGGGTTCGCCCGCACACATTAAAGGCCTGTCGCCAAACAATGAATCTTCCTTCATTGGATTAGATATCATGAGGTGAGTCTAGGCAGATGCCATGCCATGATCTCCCTTGATCTCCCTTGATCGGGCAAGGAAGAGCCATGTTGAAATGGGCAATGGCTTGGAATCTCGAGCACCCATCCATTGTTGCTGTGGCTCCTTGGCACGAAAGGCCGTCTGCGTGATTAAGAAACTCAACCAGTGAATTGCATGGGCGCGTGACCATGATCGCAAGTGTTAGTGTAAGAGGGCTGGGGAGATCGAAGCAGATATGTTGGAAAGCGGCAAGTTTAATCCAACGTTGTATCGTTAAAACGCCATACGGATTTTGAGAATTCATGAAACGACAAATCGAAATGGCTGTCAAACCCCGATTTGCTCAGCTCACTAACGCCCTAACGACATGATGCAGATGTTGAAGGGTAAGCAGTATGAATTGACAGCACGGTTGAGGCAGGTCCAGAGGAGCCAGTAGAAAACGTCGCGCTACCAAGGCTCGCTTAATTCAGACTAGTGCAGAATTACTCTGCCCACACCGACTTGCCCTTGACCCTCCAGAAAAACAAAAATTTGCACCAAAGTGCTCAATCTTCAACAGATTCGTACTAGATAAAATGCCAAAACGACACCAACAGGACTTGAACCTGTGCGGGCGAACCCATGTGATTTCTAGTCACACGCCTTAACCACTCGGCCATAGTGTCTTATGTGCTGATTTGTGGAAGCAGTTTTATTATTATCAATTATATACTGCTGTACTGTCAACTTCTATCATCAAAAGTTTACGAACATTTCTTGAGGTTCAAAATCAGCCATTGACTAAGCTGACCGGATAGAAGATCCCACTGTTGGACAATTAGAAACTAGCCATCTCTGTGGCGCACCCTTGATAAACAGTCAAAGCACATCATGTTTGGCTGTGGAGCATGAATCAGGACAGTCATGTTCTAAACATGTATATCTATTCTCTCTAATATTCTATGCACCGCCACCGAGAGCAATGTTTTTGCCCTTGACATTCTTCCACTCAAACAGAAAACTACTCAGGAATGCCAGACCGCCGCATGCAATCGCTAGTACGTACGCTTGCGTTAGCGCCTCATTGTACCCTCGTAAAACTCCTGCTAACTGATCAGGCGGCGTCACATCTCTGATATGCGTTGCTCCTGCAGCGATAATCACACTGGGATCAATACCCTGCGTATGTAGCGGAATCTGCTTAACAAGCGCATTCGAGAAGATATTCTGTGCTATTGAAATGCTGATTGCACCGCCAAGGGACACGAAAAAGATCGGAATGGCATTGCCTGTTGGCATATCTTTCTTGTTGAGGACCACTTGAATCGCGACGAAAGGAATCTGAACACCTGTGCCGGCACCAAAGCCTGCGAGAATTTGATAACCAATCCATGTGCCGGTACCTGATGTGACTTTGAGGGTATAGATTAAGCCCGCACCAATTGTAAACAGGGCGCTGCCGAGCCAGGTGAAGGGAACGTATCGACCCATGAAGGTGACAGCGGCCCCAACAACCACGCTGGCGATGGTGAGGCTGATGAGGTAAGGGATTGTGCGGATGCCGGAGCCTTCGGCTGACGCTCCTTTTACTGCTTGGAAGTAGAAGGGGAGGTAGTAGATGTGGGTATATACCGCCATATTGAGAAATGCTGAGAAAAGAGCGCAGGCGAGGACTGTTCGTTGTTTGATGAGGATTCGAGGCGGGAGAGTTGCTTTGTCACCGCTTTTGACTTGGATGATGCAGAAGACTATGATAAGAAGACCGAAGCCGAGAATGCAGCCCCAGACTTTAGAGTCAGACCAGGGGTGGACACTGCCGCCCCACTGTATGGAAGTTAGCATGTGGAGACCCTGCGCAGTTATGACCACGTACCTGTAGAGCTAAGAGCAAACATATGATGGCTGAAATCAAGAAGGAGGCGCCCAGCAGATCCATCTGGCCAATCTTCTGCTTGAATGTGAGGGTGCTCTCTTTCCTTTCTGGATTCTGGAAGAAGAAGAACACCGCTGTCACCGCAATAGCGCCAACAGGCAAATTGATGTAGAAACACCACCTCCATGACACTCGATCAGTAAGAGCACCTCCGAGCAAAGGCCCAACTACACTGGCGATGCCGAACATAGAACCGAGGAGGCCGATATAGATTGCTCTTTTCCGGAGCGGCACAGTGAAACCGACAATGGTCATGCCGCCGCTGAAAATGGCACTTGCTCCTATACCCGCAACGGCTCTACCTATAATGAGCATAGTGCTATTCACGGCGGCACCGCAAAGAACACTACCCACTTCAAAAATAATGATCGCGGTGATATATGTCCATTTGATATTGAAGTAAGTATAGATCTTGCCGAACGTCGGCTGCAAAGAGGTAGTTGTTAGAAGGTATGAGCTGCCGTACCAACCAACATCATTCAACGAATCGAAGACAGTTGTTATCCGTGGGATGGCCGTGGCGATGATAGTGTTGTCAAGTGCAACCACAAACGTAGATAGTGCAAGGCCCACGGTTAGCAGTACAAGAGGCAGTCCAGTCTTGTACTTTGTCTCGTCATTTTCTTCATTGGTTGAAGTAGCAGTCGAAGCTGTGCGTTGAATTACATCCTTCTCATTTGATTCTGCCTGATGTTGAGTTTCAGTAACTGGCCGTGATTGTTGCTGATCTGTGGCTTCATGTTTTTCATCTAACAGTGGTGTGGCTGATTTTGAAGGTGGTGTGGAACTTTCTGTGCTTGGAACCAGCTTCGAGTCACCCTCCGCCGCTATTTCCGAATTCGTCGTTGGCGAAGAAGATTTTGTCTCAGCTACTTGAGCCTTTGACCATGGCAACCTCATTATGCTGCAGAAATCCAAGCGACTCGTGAAGAAAATTCAATCCAGGTTGTTTCGTCAAACAAACGAGGCGCAAGGATAGGTAATAAAGTGGTACGCTTTTAGACAATTAAAGGGAACATGTATCAAGTCCAACCTACATGACATGATGGCACGGAAAGGCGACATTCCGGATATCCTTCTGCGAAAACCATCCTTATTGGAGTTTAGCACCATCGAGCAGAAAACGAGCAGTGGATTTGAATTTATCGAGGCGATGGCAACGGTGTATATCGGTTAGCCAACTGACCCAATCGATCATCCACACTATCTTTGGGAAGGGTAAAATAGCCGGGAATATATCAATTGTCGGAGATGGATGGTTCTGGCCTCCGGTTGAAAAGGGATGAGTCGGTTGGCTGCCGGGACAGAACAAGTCGAGTCCTCGAATACTTTTCCCGTTTAGGCAAAGTTTTCACTTCTAATTTGAAGCCTGAGGCCGCAATTAATGCTTGTGTCATCGGATCCTTCATGATTGGCAAATGGGTAAACCTTATGTTAAAATTGGTTCGCCCTGATGTCCAAGTCAGTCAAGATAGTAAGACCTCAATTCACCAATCTGGCCATTAGCATTTGGTAAATCCCTTCAAACCCTCCACATCCTCCGTATCGACGTTCTATCTTCATTCCTCATCTCTTATGTTATTCTTTGCCACATCCAAGCCATGTGCATATTCGTTCTGACAGCTAAGCAGTAAAGCATCTAGGAGTTACAGCCGCTGAACCTCCGTTGTGGCTGCAATCGACGGCATCCTGAGAGTAACAGAGATACTTAACTCACATGATCGCAGTAGCATTAGGTACATTGCACAATTCTGTCTCCACGTTGTTAGTGAGCAGCAGGACTTCGGCCTCGCCAAGTTGATCGGGCTCAATTAGCACAGCCACTTAGAACGGGGCAACAGAGATGGGAAGGTAGGAGACATGGAACCGAGATATGATGTAGCCTTTTTCGCTGTCAACCACAACAGGTCGTGGATGTGACGATACAGTCATGTATGTACTGCGAGAGTGGTAACAAGAGTGCTGGCATGTAAAGTCGGTAATGCTCATATCCCCCCGAAGTCAAGGTTGTTTCCTTGCAAGCGAGAATGTATCCTCTTCCTAGCTTACGAGGCTCACGTAGTTGTCGTACGTACTGTCGAAGGCTCCAGGTGTGGTTTGTAGGATCGGCTTGCCAAACCACTAAGGCGCAAGAGTGGGCGGCTCCAGTACGTTGTCCTTGCCTTGTGTTTGCCCAAGATGTAAACCCGGCTCTGCATTCACCGACCACGGTGTCTTTCGTGCTGCGAATTCTGATACTATACAACTTTCCGTCTAATCATATCTATCATACAACTCGTTTGACCTGCAAGAGAGATGTCAGAAAGACGGGTCAACTCTTTTCGCTCTGCTACAGGCTGCGTACCTCAAAGAACCTCTTTAGCCACCAGACCTGGAAGACGGCCTCTCCAATCAACACGCCTAGTTGAAATACGGACCACCATTTCACCCTTGTATTCGTGCTCTCTGCAGTATTTCTGTGTGTTCGTTCTCTTATCACAATGTACGCTTGCTCGTCTTTGACCTGAGCAAGGACGTCAGAGAGTTTGCGAACTTCAGCTTCGAGGGGGTCGGAGGGTGTGTCTGATTCGGGGACGTAGACAATGCCATGGACATTAAAAGAGACTTCTTTGCTGTTTGCAGACCAGTGCTCGTTGCTGAAACAGTAGATGTATTTGCCGTCAGAGCCTGCTTCGAATGTGTAGTCGCCAGAGGAGATTGATTTCTGTTCGACTTGGTATTGGCCGGAGGGTTGTGTGATCTGTGAGCAGGTTAGTTGGTCGTCCTAGCCTTATCCGCTGCTGAACGAACGAAGAAGTCGATGTCCAAATTGCCCGAGCCTCCGAATTCTCTGTCGCCGACCTGGAATGTTACAGTCATCTTGTCATCTTTGTGTAATTCTTCGTGGAAGCATTCTCGGGAATGCGCCCTCAATTGAATGTTGTGCGCTGCGACTGTGCTGAGTATGCTGACACCTGCCAGCAGGCCGGTAAGAGCGTTAAGAAGCATGGCCGGACAATGAGAGTATAGGAGCAGTTAACAATTGTGGTGCTTCTGTTCCACTGTCGATGTTGCAAGAATGCCAGTACTGGCTCCTGAGCGTGGAGTCGCTGGAACGGACACCTAAAGATTTGGCACATGGACGGCCTCCCTGAATGAAATCTTGGCATTTTCCCTGATGGAGTCGCCCTACATGTTGCTGGCCAACGATTTTGAACCGGTCATTTCCTAAAGGAGAAATCTCACTTTCTCTTTTCGACACCGTCACAAAGTCGGTCTTGACTTTCGACCCTGACTTGCTCATGGTTGCTATGGATCACATCGTTCACGCTCAGTGATTTGTATGCACAAAGACCATCACAAATACAAATGGTTTAGACCATCACAAACGCTCCAACAAAAAAGCCAACCTCAAATCTATTGCCAAGCACGCATAATAGATGGAGGCGCTCTCTATAAAACAACGTGAGTGCCAGATTAGATGTCTAGATACAAGGCCGCAACCTTCAGCCCCCCATGCCACTTTCGCATGCTCAGACTACTTACTTGTAACTAATCCACATGCGTCGTCGCAACTAAAATGATGTGTTCCTTGAGAAGCAACGAGTTAGCTCTCCTCGGCCATAATAGCTTGCTTCCCCGTTTGCTGTCGTCCATGGAAGATTTGGAAACCCTGTTTCAGTTCGGTGCGTGTGAAAGATCGGCAATTAGTCTAGAACGTAATGCCTTGAGAACCTAGTGAGTGACTGAAAAAAGTAGTAGCCCTGGTTAATC